CCTAGAGGAGATATTTTTCTGATCATCCCTATAACAGAGGTGCATTTGTATTGTGATGGTAAGGAAGGACTATACCCTGAATGGGACCGAGGTAGGAACACTCCTACAGAGAATTGTGCACATGCACCCTTGGAGGGCTCACCTAAATGACAATAGTCTTGAGGCCGCGACTGTTAGAATTTGGTTATTCTCTAGAAACTCTCATGAAAATCAAGATCAAGTGTATGCTCATTACTTGCATTGACCGGCGAATCCTAACTAATATCGATACTGTGTGTGACACATCAAACTCTGGCTTAAAGGGTTAAGTTCAAGACCTAGTTTACTTTGATCCTCGAGGGAAAGACTGTCAATATCAAGTGAGGTTTAAGTCAAAAGACACCTATACCCATTGCACAGTATAATGTTTGTCCTGAAGTTTATATATTTTGGATATATTAAAGTTTTTAAAACTTGTGGAGGATTGTTAGAATAAAATGAGAATTTTTCAAACTTGTGATTGATTTTGGAGTAAATTACACTAACACCCTTGTAGATTGATCTAATTACAAAGACACCCCCTTAATTTTTTGAATTAGATCAATCTACAAGCGGTGTCAGTGTAATTTATTTGATTTTATTATTAATGTTTAGTTTTATTTTATTTAATTTTTATTTTATATTTATTATGTTTTAATAGGATGATTGATAATATGTTTAACGGGTTTTTATACTTATTTAATGGGTTATTATAATATGTTTTATAACTTGGATTGTAACTAGTCATTAGAGCTTTAAAATCCATTAATCGTAAGTTTTTTAAAGGAGCAATGCTACATAGTTTTAAAAATCAGACTTGATAATTACAACTATTGGTTTCACTGTGGGTCCCAGCATTTATTGAAACCCACTACCTGTTCAATGGTTGAGATTATCAAGTTTAGTTTTTAAGTCTATCTAGTATTACTCTTTTTAAAGTGCTATATGAGAAAGCTATGTAGTTTGAAGATGGATCTATCCTTATTTCCAATTTTACTCAAACAAAAAAAAAAAATTCTTCTATCATGTTTTGTCTCTTATACCTACTTATATATTGCCTTGTATTTTCGGATAACTTTGATTTGAGTCAGGTTCACCCCTTTCTTCAAGTGGGTGTGACTATTGAGGAGGTATTGCTGCGAACGTCCGAGTTTAATCTTAGAGTTATTGATATCCATCAGTACTCTCAAATAAAGAGACTCAAATATTTAAGGACAAGTGTTCACACGACTCTCGAACTCGCAGGGCAGCTCTTTCTAATTTATAACATTTATTTTATTCTACTCTAAATTAATTGTTAGCTTTTATTTATTTTTATATTATTGTTAGTTTGTGATCTTAATATTAATTTGTTAATTAAAATTATGTATAATTATTTTTATTTCCCCCAACAAGTTTAACATTCGTACTTACCAAAATCAGCAATCCTTGTTAACAATCAAATAGGTGTGGTAACAATCCAAAAACAAAGTTAGAGAGAGAGAGAGATGTGTAGTGTAAAATCTGAGCATACATGTGTACGAAAAAAATATAGGAAAATATTTTTTTATAGTGCATGTTTTAATAGGTATATAATTATAAAAAAGTTAGAATTAAATTAAAATAAAAAAAATTGAAGTTGAGTTATTTATGAAAATGCCATTATATGACATTTCTTTCCAAGCTGCTATCTGGCAACAGAAGAGCCCTCCCCAGCCTTCTCCAAGTTTCCAGAGTGATTGAGGAGAGGTGCTCAAGACTTCAGTAGGTCTCTGGATAAGGTAGAACCGCCAAGAGAGGAGAGAGGGAGAAGAGAGAAGCTAGAAGCTAGAAGCTAGAGAGAGAAAATCAAATGTTGGAATTTCAGATTTGTGGAAGAAGCTACTTTGAATGACTAGAGGTATGCTACTAGGCTAATTTGAGTGCAAGGAATCTCTTGGTATCATTAGAATTTCATATCATGTACTACAATTGCTCGAATTCATCTTTTAAATTTTTGGGTTCTAAGTTTTTATGAAATTAGTTTTGAGTTTGAGGTTATTTTGGTTAAATTGGTTAGTATGGTTGTGTTGTGGGGAGGTAGAGGAGTTCTTTGGTGGTAATCAATCACACTGGTTCACGCATGAACCATTCCCAGGGAACCTGTTGGGTCCTGCACTCTAGGCTCTCATTGCCTTTCTTGCTTTTTAAAGGGAACTTGTAGGGCATTACTTGTAACATCACATAGGCCATCATCGAAAGCCACTATCATAATCAATTCCCTTAGGACTAGTAGCCGCCTTAACAACTCACTCAATAGGCCCCAACCGTCTACTAACCCTCTGTCTGTTAGTATCGAACATACATTTTTCAAAAATCATTATTTTCTATATCAATAAATCCTTTTAAACACACATGTCATAATCTTGACATTTTGTCAAACATGTAGAGGCTCAAATCTCAAAAGTTGTATTTTCAGAGCAACATAACCATTTCTAAGAGAATAAGCCATATATATTATGTATAAAATCATAGCATATTTCAAAACCCCCAAATCATAGGTTTAATCAAATATCAATAGCTAAAATCAAACTAGAGTTTCAAGTCCACAACACTAAAATCATTTTCATTTCCAGAAGAATAAGTCATATTATGTACAAGATCATAACATACTTCAAAACTCCAAATCATAAGTTTAATCAAATACTCATAACTAACATCAAACTAGGATTTCAAACCCACAACACTAAAATCATTTTTATGCATATGAGTTTCCAACTTTTGGCATACTCAACACTAAATCAAGATTTATAACAAATATTTTGCCATCAAACACATAATAAGTTTTAGCTAAAGAAAATACATGAAATGCATAATGTAAATGCAAGAGAGAGAAAAACTCCACCTAGAAATCAAGAATTCCAAGCCAAGTTCCTAGGATTTTAAAGCAAAACTCTAGCTTTAGAGACTTTTTTCTTCCCTTTATCTTTTTCTAGGGTTCTAAGAGGTATTGGATAAGAGTGAAATGAAAAAATGGAAGAAAAGGGGCTGAAATCTGGGATTTCAACCCAGTAGTCCCAAATTTTACTGTTCATGGGCAAAAAAAAAATATATTTTTCTCCGAAATTACAATTTTTTCACTACACATTCCAATTTGATCCATATGACTACCCTAAGGTTTTTCAACGTTCCAAATTCATTTTTTTTTGTTATTTTAACTTAAAAACATTTAGTTTTATGATTAATCTCAAAATCAAAGTCAATTTACATCTGAAACACTAAAGTTACTATTTTATCTCTCCGAACCGCTATATGCGCTAAATGTTTATTCCAAGGTTTTTGGACCTCTCGGATTCAATCGTAATATTATTTTGAGCTAAAAAAATTAATATATTTATTTAGTTACTTTTATCAATCTTAAACATTTCCAAAAATTAAATTGAACTAAAAAGTCAATATGTCTGTACCTCAAACTTATGCGACAATTTCATTAACAACGATTCGAAGTTTCTCTCATTATTTTAATCATTTAAAAGAAAGACTATCAAGTTAATACCATTTATATTTATATAAAATATGGGATCTCACAACTAGTTCCCCTCAACATCTTCTAATGTTGTATATCACTTAACTAATATTTGTCTAGCATTTAATGAATATATTCAAAAATCTAATTTTGAACATATTGTTCAATTAATGAGAATAAAGTGTGATAAATATTTTTTTGATATACCATGATGTTTTGGTGTTGCAGTTGCAATTGATCTAAGATTTAAAACAGAATGTCTAAGTGTGTGGTTAGAGATTATTTACCAAAACGATTACGAAAAAATTGCATCAACCGAAGACTTAATTACTACTTGTTTAAATGAGTTATTTAATTATTACAAACAAAAATATGGAATTATAGATTTTACTAACACGTCACACCATGCCACAAGCTCCTCACCTACTTCTTGGGGTTTAGGAGCAATACACCTTATGAAAAAAGGAAAAGAACAAACACCTGCACATGGTCATAATAAATTAAAACATTATATTGAACAACCTTTTGTTGAGCATGATGATGAATCACCCTTTGACTTATTGGGCTGGTGGAAAGCACACCAAAATTTGTATCCTGTGCTTTCCATTAAGGCCGGTGATCTACTAATGGTTCCAGGTTTGACTATATCGTCAGAAGCAGTTGTTTCTGCAAGTGGCAGAATACTATCTGACGCACGATGCAGTTTGAATCCATCAACAATTGAAGCTTTAGTGTGCCTCAAAGAATAGAGTCTTGATAACGTAAAGATGCATGAGGAAATAAGAAATCAAGAATTAGTTCAAGCATTAATGTAAATGAACTTGCAAACAGAAGATTGGGCACCTGATAGTTCGCTCGAAGAAGATTATTATATTATATTTCATAGTTGTATTGTTTATTTGATATTTGATTTATAACTTTTATAATATTGAGACTTACAAATGATTGACAATTGTGTAGGTGCAAACTTACTCAATTTGTGGTGATGCAAAATAGTCTCACCTATTAATCAATTTGTAATATAACATTGTAACTCTTTATGAATATTTGTTAAATTCAATCTATATGAATAATTTTTTGTCAATTTATTTTCTCATGTCCAACTTCACGTAATTGATGTATTTTTGTAATTTTTACATAAAAAATAAAATTTTCAATGTCTTTTTGTATTTTTTTACATAAAAATAAAAAGTTTGTTTCAGGGCCAATGGGCGACCCATAAGGCCTGGCCCGTATGTAGTCCAATTTTTGCCCAATAGGGCTGTCCATGGAACAAGCCATGGGCCTTAAAAATTCCTAACAGGTGGGCCTAGTCTGGTCCATTAACTAGTCAAAGCCTAAAGGCCCGGCCCACGGGGCAGGTTATGGGACAAAAAATCCTAGACCGGGCTGGTCCGTTGCCGAGGCCTAATATGGGGTTGCACTACGTGCAAATAAGAATAAGAGATTGAGTTCTAATCTTATTGTTGAATTGATTGTTAATCATATTCATGACAATAAAACAACTCGTCCAACTGAAGTGGTCAGTGAATTTTGTACAGATTATGGTCTTACAATTTCATGTGATCGTGCTTGGTTGGGTGTTAAGAAAGGAATGATGTTTGGTGATCGTACAATGTCATACCAACAGATAAATTGGTATGTTGATACTGCAGTTCGTAACAATCCTGGCAGCCACATTATATTAGATTGTGATGAAGAGACTAAATGATTCCAAAGATTATTTGTGTCATTTCACTACAAGAAATATCAAAAAGGGTGGCAGTTAATTACCGGTGTGTAGGCAAAACGCCGTTCAATGCCAGCGTTTATGTATAAACGCCACAAAATTTCTGATAAAAATTAATGGAAATCTGTTTTTATTTCACTTGGCAAATTTTTTTTTTTGGACAGCACTTCCTAGACTTGACCTAACTATTTTTCTCCAAAATTCTCTTCGTCACCGTGTCCTCCTCGCTTCTCTGTCTCTATCTCTCTCCACTCCACTTCTTGAGTTCGACTAAGGAGAGTGTGTTGCTGATGATTGGTGATTTGTGAATTCTAGACTTGTAATTCTCTAATATGTCTATAATTTGGGACGATTTTCACTTGGAAAAGTATGAGAAAATCGGTTCAAGTATGAGAAATGGAGGATCAGGCTATTCTCAAAATCTCCTATCGCTGCACTGCATTCGATTGTGAATTTTGGATCTGTGAAAGTGAAAAAAGAAGATGCACATCAAATCTAGTGGAGAAAGGGGAATCGATTAGTCATGGTGTGTTTGGTAGGGTTTATATGGGAATGAATCTTGATTCCGGAGGCTACTTTCCTGGTCGTTTTTTAGGTGTTGATAGTGTTGAAGTGGACTTGAGCATTCAAGTAGTTAAGGTTCTTGGTTCTTCGCCTGTAAAGAGTATGTCTGAAGCTTTGGAGTAGACCGGTCAAAAAACCCGATTGATTGGCCAAAGGGGTCCCTGTTGTCACTAGTTACCCTCCCCCTACCCTTTCTCTTAACCCCTATCCCCCTGCATCCCCATTGAAATCAATTTTTCGTATAGCTTTTCCATCTTTTTGTATTTTAACTCCTGTTAAGGTCTTATGATTAGGAAATTAGTTCAATTTGCATATTTTTATTTGGAAAGTTTCAGGCTATGATAGCAGTTACTATTCCTGCCTTCTTTGGTTTGATGATGAGTTGACACTTGTAATCGAATTGTGTACTTTTGGCTTAGTTATCTTATAATAAGATGAATATATGGTTATTATTGAGGCCTTTTTTCCAAATGTGTCCTATGTAGGAGCAATTATGGTTATGGTCTCCAATCATTATCAAGAATTTTTTTCGCTCGACAAGTTTATCCCTTTGTTGTCTTGAACAAGTATACCTGAATCCACTTTAAACTCAAGCTAATGTGAATTGAGTGATCAATGCATGTGTGTGTGTGTGTGTGTGTTATTCTTCTTATTGGGATATGGTGTTTCAGGTTAGTGGTTACCTACTAGCTAGGGTGATTGACACCCAAGTAACGTTATGCTGCACTACTTATTAGAAGAGATTAGGTTGATTTATTAAGGCTTGAAAACACTTATACATTGTTTTGCAATGGGATGATTCTGCACGTTGAAACTGTTGTGCAGAAACATTATAAATGCCAGAATCACCATCAGATCAATTTAACTTTTGCTCATCTTACATAAACATTGTGATGTAGGTGCCTTTCCATCTGACTAGAATCATTGTGAAAGCTATGGAGGTTGGTGTTACTGATGTAAAAATTGATGTTGGATTTTCATATACCAAATATCCTCTAGAGAGCTTTAACATCTTATCAATTGTGCGTAGGTCAATTTTTATATCCATGGACCACATGGTGCTGGCAAAGTTTACATGGAGATGTTCAAAGACTAGGAGGATAAGCAGTAGAAGTTCACATATTTGATTGTTTTGATCAAATCACCTTCTCCAGCACAATTGATGCTCGAGTCTTATGTTACGGCCTGAACTCTTACTTCTAAATCGCTAAAACCTGAGATTAGGTCGTCCTGCACGTGGATGCCATGACTCGGTGCGACCAGTTGTTCTTCAAATTTTCCTTTGGTCCAGGCCTCATTGAGTATGATTTGTTGAAAAGGGTTTTGATGGTCAAAGGGAGGGGAATTTTAATAAAGCACAATATAAGTTCTTAATAAGCACGAGACACTTTATATGGGTCTGCAATATTATGTATTTTGATTGGATTTAGTTAGTGTGGATGCTATAAATACAAAATAGAATGCAAAAAAAATAAAAAATAGGAAAAAAAAAACAAAAAAGCTTTCCTGGCATTTATTATAAATGCCGGCAATTGGATTATTCTAGTCGACAAAATCCGAAAAGGGGTTGGCGTGTAAATAAACGCTGCAAAAAATGCCATTTTATAATTTTTGATGTTTGCACAAACACAGGGAAATTTCCCGGTTATGGTATAGGCGAACCTTGTATGAAACGCCAGCGATTGACTTCTTCGGCTGTTTTTTTGACAGTTAATGGCATTTGAGAAACGCCAGCTATTGATTATTTTCTTGTATGTTTAAAGGTAGCATCAATGGCTTCAATTATTGTCGGCCATTTCTTTTTATTGATGGAAAATTTTTGAAAAGTAGGTATAAAGGAAATATTCTTTTGGCAACTATCAAAGATGGCAATCAACGTGTCAAAAATGGCAATCAAAGTATACTTTCATTTAAAATTCTTATGTTACATTATAATGTTACAGTTGGTTTGTACAAAAGTTGACTCATATTTTGGACCATGATCGCGAGATTACTTTTGTATCTAACCGGAACGTGGACTTGTTGGAAGCCATGCCTGCAGCTTTTAAAAGCTAATTTGAGAGACAAATCTAGCTGAAGTCATTTTCCCAATGATTTCAGGGAGCATATGATTTTTAAGCTATGGGAATGTGTTTTTACACCAACTGTATCTATTTTTAAGGAGAAGTGTCACACCCCATCCCAGACATAGTACATATGAACTAATCCATGAGGGTGGACCCCACTCAACAATCAACAACCTGTCATCCTACGCAATGGTATAAACATTACATTACTTCACAAACAAGCTCAAACATAATCCCATATATATATATAATCCATAGACACTGAGTTCAAGTCATACATTTACATGGAACTTCATATAATCCTTAACTAAACGCTTAAGCTCGAAGCTCAGTAGTTGTACATAGTTATATGCCTTAAACATTACAAAATATGACACCAATACTCTACTTAAACACCTCGACCCTCTAAGACACAACAGTGGACTCCAAGCTCCCTCTTTTTCCTTGAAACCACAAACTATGGGGGTTGAGCACAACATGCTCTATGAATGAACAATTTTAGTAAATTGATAATAAAAATATATACCTTAAACATCATCATTTAAAACATGCATTGCTAACAAGGAACTATCATCACATGTTAACAAATAACCATTTGCAACAATCATAATAAAATCACTTCAAACATTTATATATATTTGACTCCAAGGCTACTTGTCTACCATTTAGAACACATATATCCGCCACAAAGGCGCCACCACCAAGGCGTAACATAAATCCGCCACAAAGGCGTCACCACAAGGCATAATCATGCCACTATGGGCTACTTACACTTGCCTTTAAGGCTAAATCTTCATACACATTAATAACATCACATAAGTATACCATGACCATTATCAACCACAAGAAAAAAGGCCACTCACTTCATGTCTTGAAACACAACAATTATTTCCTGGTTGGTACTTTTGATGTAGAGGTTGATGTCTCAGTTCCTATACCATAATATTTTACACCCAAGTGTCTAGCACTTTCATTTAACTCCATCATGTGTTTATGCATGTTTACCCACACACATGTTAACACATTTTATGTTCCTCCCCATGGTGTATATGCAACCCATAAAAGTCAAAAGAACCTATTTAAGGTCCATTGAATGACTTAACAAAGTCTTAGATCAATTACATTAGAGCATAGAACATTACAACAAATTTGTCAAAATTAACTTTGATGAACCGGTTGGTCGTGATCCTTCAACTGGTTGGAACCCTTCAAGTACTCTGATCAACCGGTTCAACACATGCTTTAACCTATTGATTTGCATCCAATATTCTGTTCAACTAGTTTAACCTCTCTTCAATCGATTGAATCCTGTTTCAAATTTCAAAACTAGGTTCAAACTTCATCTACCCAAGCCTCAAGCATTTAGAAGCAGAAAAACATGAAAATTCATGAGAATCTCTTACTTCCATTGCGACCCAGTTTCTTCGGATTTCCTTTGAATCCTCACCCAAGAGCTTTAAGTTCTCTTCAATACTTTAGCACAACTTCACTCCACTCCTTTGCTCAATCAAAGATCAAGCAACTCATACAAAAGAAGAAACTCCTCACTCAAGAACACATGCACTTCGGCAAACTCCCTCTCCCCGAAACCCTTAGCTTTTCTTCCTTTTCCTTTTACTTGTTTTGTTTTTTTTTACTTCTCTTCCTCTCTTCCCCCACCTAAGACAATTTTCCTCTCCTTTTATATTTTTCCCAAGCACTTGGCTGGAGAAGCTACACATGTCGAGTGTCTTCCCATGCAAAGAGTTATCAAAATTACAATAAAGTCTCTATCTTGTTTTGCTTATTCCTCTATTTAGTAAATCAATAATTCTCGATACTTTTGAAATCTCGCTTTGCTCCCCATTACCACGTATTCTACTACTACATTCCTCAATTTACACATGCTCAACTATCATGAGTTTAATTATCACAACTTAAACTCCATGCAAATATTTATAAATTACACTTTAACCCATACTATTTATAAAACAAAATATTACGCATGCTCGAGTTTCACAAGTAGATTGAATATCTTCGTCGTGAAGGTGGTGTTCACATTGATAGGTTTTTGACAGTCAGCCATTTGAACATTGGACAAATGCCCATTTTCGAGGAAAGCGTTACGGTAAAATGTTGTCTAATGTTGCAGATTCTTTTAATGTTTGGATTGCGAAAGCTCGACATTTACCTATCACTAGCATGATTGACAGTATAAGGGAACAAATTATGGATTAGAGGGGTTGTAGGTTGCAAGGATTGATCAGTTGGAATAGGATCATATGCCCTAATATGGAATCCAGGTTAAATGATGCATTCAATGAATGTAGATCATAGTCTGTAATAGTTTCAAGTAATGATGTGTATAATGTCAATTCATATTCGTTGGTAGCTGTTGACATTATGAACAACACATGTACATCTTATCAATGAAGGATTAATGCGTTCCCTTGTTCACATGTGTTTTCAGCAATACGTAAGAGTGGACACAACATATATGAATTTGTTGATTATTATTTCAATGTGAGCACATACAAGAAGGCATATGTGGATCCAAAATACCCAATCCCAACACTTGGTCATCCAGATTTTGCGTAGGAAGTGGTTGATATATTGCCACCATCATCCAAGCCGCAACCTGGTCATCCGAAGAAGTGGAGAATCAGGTCGTAGGGTGAACTTATTAAGTAGATCCGTTATGGTTGTTGTGAGCGTTTGGGTAGCCATAACAAGAAAATATGTAATGCGCCATTGTAATATTTTATTTTTCAAAATAATGGCTTTATGGTAGGTGTTTTAATTATATATATATATATATATATATATATATATATATAT